TAATTAACCATATCGGACCAAGTTATGGGAGAGTGAGCCTAGCTCAACTGGTTGGGGGAGTGGATGTACAAATCCAACACCTGGGTTTAAATACTTATGGAGGCGAATTTAGGTTCCTATTTATTATTGAGGACCAAGATTAAAAATCCTAATACTCATACTTCAAGGATTGTATACATCCCTAGTTGGTGCAGAGGCCAGGGAAGTGAAATTCTCTCCCAATTTAATGACCTTCCCTGTGTTCGTTAGGCATGAATTTCTTATATTGATCTGCCCCCGCATCGCCCCCGCAGGGCGACTCGGGCAACACGCAACAAACCTTGCCACCAGGGGTGGCGGAGGATTTCCTCTCTCCTGCTTCTCAAGGATGGTGCAGCGCTCCTAGGCATGAGGTGGCGTGGACGATCCAGTTTTTGCGACGCCGCGGAGATGGCTGCAGCAGGCGGCGGCAGTGGCTGACTCTCCCTCGGGCGGCGGCTATAGGGCGGTGGGCGCAGCGGAAGGCCCTTTCGGGCGGAGGCGGTGGCTGCAGTCAGCGGTGGTGGCTGGCTTGGCGGCGGTGGCGCGCAATCTGCATTCGGATCGGGGCGGTGGCATGGAGGGCCTGGTGGTCTCGGTGGCGGCACCACCGGTCAGATCTGGTATGGCCGGTGCAGCCGGCGGTGGTTGTCTCGGTCATCGGAAGTGGTCAGTCTGAGGCTGGGTGTTCGGATCTCGGGATCCGTCATCTAGTTTCAGCTGCGAGTCGGGGAGAATAGTTGCCGGTGAAAACCGAGCCGATGGCGGCATTATGTGTCGTTACCTTAATGAAGGCACCATCGGGGTAACTACTGTCAACCCACTCGTCACTACTAGGAAAAACCTTACCAGTAGTGTGGGTTTTTAGACTACCAGTAGCGTAGGTTCTCACGCTACTGCTATGACGCTACAACTATTTTTTAGCAGTAGCGTGTGTTTTATCCCACGCTACTGCTAAACAGATATACCAGTAGCGCTTCTATTATACGCCCACGCTACTAGTAAAGGAATAGTAGTAGCGCTTCTATTATACACCCACGCTACTAGTAACAAATTAGGATTTAAAAAAAATAAAAGTCTACCTATTTCAGTTCAGACATGCATTTCACAATACGTACATGTTATGCATACAGTCAATCATCAATCACACATATCTGATGTAGATAATTAACACACGCACATGCACACACGCACGCGCGTACACGCACACACACACACAATATATGCCACACGTCTATGTCATCGGCGTCGATGCCTCCACCTTCACGATTTGGTCCGCGCCCAATCCGCCGCTCCCGGACAACGACGCAAAATCAATCCTGCCCGGACCGGTGGCCTCCGCCTCGCCGAGGCCGAAGCTCTTGGCCAGCTCGCTCCCCATGGCCTGGTCGAAGTCGAAGTCGTTGAGGAGCCACTCCTGGACGGGGTCGAAGGAGGCGGCCAGGTCGGAGGGGGGCGCAGGCGGCGGGGAGGGGCTGGGGGACGCAGGCGACAACGTCACGGCGCAGGGGGGGAGGCGCTCGGCGCCGGCGTCGACACGGCGCAAGATGCCCATGAGCAGCTCCGGCAGCAGGCGGGACCACCTCTCCTCATCGGCCTCCCCCCGACGCCCATGCTCGGCGGCGTTCTTCGGGGCGACCTCGGCTGAGACCTTGCCCTTGTTCCCGCCGACGATGCCGGTAGGGGCGCTCTAGCACGACGTGAGCCCAGGACGAGCTGCGCCATGGTGGAACAGGGGGGCGGGCGGATGGGAGGAAGGGGCCGGAGAGGGAGCGACGGGCAAGGAGATTGTGGGGGCGGAGGAGAGGGGTGAGAGTGGATCGGGGGTGGATGGTGTTGCACTCTGCAATGGACCCGCTGAGCAGTAGCATGAGTGTATCGCCAGCGCTATAGCTATTCACTTAGTAGTAGCGCAGGATTTACAACCCGCGCTACTAATATTTTTTTATCTAGAGGTGTGGTGTGCCACACTTACCAGTAGCGTGTCTAAGAGAAACCAACGCTGCTGCTAATCCATACCAGTAGCGCGCTTTGTACCCAGCGCTACTGGTAATTACCAGTAGTGTGGGGACACAAACAAACACTACTGGTAAACTTCTATGTATAAGCATTTTCCTAGTAGTGCGTGTTGCTCCGGGGGAAACCCTTGGATCTGGTCTTCCAGATTGGACGATGGCTGCACTGTGGTGTGGTTTCTGTCGATGGAGCATCGTTTCTGGAGCAGCGCTGGAAGACAAAGGCATGCGGCGGAGTGGCTTCATCTTGCATGAAGCTTCGGTGGAGACGTCAAGCCAAGCCTGGTCTATAGGTTGCTACGCTTTGTCATGCCTGTTCGGTAAGTGCTATGCACGATAGATCTTCCAGAAACTTCAAGCTGTGTCGGCTGGTGGTACTTGGCAGCATGGTGTTGAGGTGTACCGGTGGCGACCGCGACGCGCTTAGTAGTTCGCGCACAGGGAGGTGGTGTCGTTGGGCTCTGTGGTGGCGTCGATGGTTGGCCGGACTGGCAAGCATAATGCGGATCTCTTTCATGAAGATGGGTCAGCGGGACGATGGTGATGGCGCCTTCTAAACCGTATGTGTGATGTACGCTTTAGATTTGCCGCACCGGATGTAGGTTCTGATACATTATGTGGATGGATCGATGACGACACTGATTTTAGATATGGGGACTCAGAGCACCCCACATTGTCGAGTTTGTAGGTGTGAGTGGTGGCGCCGGGTGGCTTGATGTAAGGTATTGTCACACCTGGTTGAATAATTAATAAAGAAGGATGCATGCATCGATTGATGCAGATGCCGGGAATTTTAACCTCCTTTAAAAAAAATCCAGATCAATTTAATACTACTCCCTCCGTTTCAAAATAGATGACTCAACTTTGTACTTACTTCGTATCTTGTACTCTAGATGAGTAGGAACATTGCATGCATTGGTGAGTTCCTTTTTAATTCATGCATGCAAATATTTAATGCGCCTTGAAATCTCAATATGAGATGGAGATGAGCTCTTTAAATCGGTAAAACGAAAAATTTGAGATAAGCCCTATAAACCAAAAAAGAGGAAGTATTAGTGGTTAAAGACATGGATCAAAGACCGTGCAAAGTCAAGTGCGCCTTATATTTTGGAAAGCAGGGAGTTATAATTTTCTATTTTTGAATTTTCTGTAATATATTTATATTCCAGTCATCTTTTCAATCATTGGATCAACACCTAGACTAAACGTACGAGTTCTTGCAAAATTGCGCACTTTGAGTACTAAATTTTTATGTGACGTGTAAGTATGCAATTTTGGATAATCAATACTTTGAAAGTATTAGGCTACTGAGAGTAGTAAAAGTGAAATCATATGCATTCTATCTGCGAAAAAACAGTATGCCGTTGTTGGAGCTTCTAGCTAGTCTAGGTAAAATAAATGAGTGTACTGTTTGTTGTCGCAAAAACGCACACTAGAACTAATCTGTAGCTAAAAAATTAATTTCTACTTTATGCACGGATGAATCTAGCTTTATTTTTCGATGGACTAATATGTAGCTAACAAATTTCTAGTTTGTGCAAGGATGAATGAGTCATCATATTCAACGTTTCTGCGAAGAATAGTGTGGCATTGCACGCCTGACAGATCCTTAATGCTTAATTGGCTAGGCCATCTACTAATATGTTTTATTTGTTAGAAAGTATGTTTTTAATTTAATATTTTTCAGAAACAGATGTTAAGGTTAGTTTGAAAGATTGATAAAATCACATGTTGCAGATCAATTTAAAAAATGTGCATGTACCTCACCATAAATATTCATATATTTGAACAAAGTGGTTATCTCATGTTTAAAATGTATTCCTAAATATCCAAAAACATGTTCTGAAGAAGAGTTATTCATGAACATCTAAATATATGTTCATATGCTTTAAATAATTAAATATGGATATTCCGGTATTTTTCCAAAAGCATAAGAAAACAAATGAAAAAACAAAGACATAGCAGAAAATGAACAAAGTAAAATGGATGCAAATAAAATTTGAAGAAGGCAAAACATAAAAAAACACGAGAAAAGGTTAGAAGGGAAAAATGAGACAAAAGGAAAACGCAAAAAATGATACCCAAACAAAATCAGCCACCCAAAACATGTAACAGTAATGTTTGAGCAGGGAAAGGAGTTGTGCAAGACAACAAAGACTAATAAACAGCCTTTTTTACTTTACTCCGAGGAGTTGTGCAAGACAACAAAGGTCGCACCAAACCATAAGCAGCATCCACTTCTTTTACAATGACTTCGATGCAAAGAAGATGCAACTCTAAACATTTTGATATGCTTCAAGAAGTTTTTGGGTCTGTACCTGCATGTAAGGATGATATGAACTGCCAGCCGATATAAACATTGCTGCTGCATGGTCTCGCATCACAGCTCCCATGCCATGTGTCTGCAAGTCGCTCGTCAATACTAAATTCATCTATCCTTGATCCGATTTATTTATGTTTCTCTTCCTACGATCCATAAAAAACTTAGGGTTGGCTTTGATCTCGGTGCAAGTATATGTTTTACGAGTGGACTATGACGCGGCAATATATATGTAACACACATATCGAGTTTACACAACTTCATCAGATTTCAGATGATACAAGCTAGGGGCATATAGTAGGCGCCCGGCACAGTACTTGACATGATGATACAAACCCCCGGTTACGTGGGTCATTTATTTGGACACCACAAACTTGACACACTTCATGCACTTACGTTTACGTACCTACCTAGTGATCACTGCATGCATGCATAATGCTAATGCGTGACAGAGAACCTAGGCATGCACAAGACATATATATATATATATATATATATATATATATATATATATATATATATATATATATATATATATATATATATATATATAGATGAACTCAAACACAAACTGGAGTAGTGTATAGGAAGCTGCATGCATGGCATATGTACGCAGCATGCCATGCTTGGACGAGTACGTTGATCTATCAGTGCGGGCAGGTGAAGCCGGGCGGGCAGGTCTTGTGGCAGTGGTTGAGCAGGAGCACCAGGTCGACGGGGACGTTGAGGTTGATGACGCCGAGGACCTTGACCTTGATGGCGGTGCAGAGGCACACCGCGGCGTCCAGGTCGGCCAGACCGGCCAGCAGCGGGCAGCACCGCTCGCTCGGCGGCACGCCAAGCCCGAGCTTCAGCAGGTTCAGCACGTTGGCGCACACACGCAGTTTCAGCGTGTCAATAGGGCATGAGCCGCCGTTGGTCGATGGAGGAGACGGTGGGGTCGGGGTAGGGCAGTGAGGTTCACAGCTACCGTGCACAGTGGTGACCATCAAGTTCAGGCCGAGGAGCACGAGGAAGAGCTGGGTCGATGGCGCCATTGCGAAAGCTAGCCTTGGTCGAGAGGAAGCAAGGCTTACTATAGGAAGCAACTAGCAAGGGTTTGTAGGCGCTGTGAGTTTGAGCTGTGTGGGGTGGTATTTATAGCCCGGGCGCACGTATATGTTGATCCATGATCGAGCATTCAAGTTTGATTCTACAACTTAACTTAAACTATAATAAACTCCATCTACAACTTAGCTTAAACTATAATATACGTCCGGCTAGTTTCAATACTTGATGGGCATGTGTATTTTCAAACAAGCTCTGCACACAGAATAACGGGATACTAGTGGCTGGAATGCGCTGAAGATATGCTGTGTGACGACTTTCATGCCATGGCCATGCATGCCGTAGTTGCTACTTAGTTTGATACCATGCATGGACACGTATAGCAAGTGCAATATTAACTGGAGAGCAAGAGAAGTCAACTATAAATGTTTCATAGCTAGCTTTGGCTTATACGTTATACCTGGCCGTCACTCGGGCCGGGCCGGGCTTCGGGACGGGCCTAAACAAGCCCGATGCAGAAAACTCAAGCCCGGGCGTCAGGCCTAAAAATCAGGCCACAAGCCCGGCCTGATTGTGTAAAAGCCCGCCAGGCCTCAGGCTGGGCCTCTTCATTAAATCCCTGATATGAGCGGGCCGGCCCCAGCCAGGCCCGGCCTTCGGGCTCAAAATCTAGGCCCAGGCCCGGTCTATGCACAATGTCGGGCCAGGCCGGGTCGGGCATTTCGTGCCGGGTCGGGTCGGGCCATCCGGGGCGGACTGCCCATGGACAGGTATATTATACATGCATGGTTGTTGGTGTGGACACGTATCCACGCACTGGTTTTTATAGAAAAGTGTTCATCATGTATTTGAAAAAAATTCAACGTGTATCTAAAAAGAAGATCCGGGCCTACAAAAAATGTTCAATGTGTAGTGAAAAAAGTGATATGTATTTCAAAAAGAAAGCCAAAAAAATTACCTATTCTAAAAAGTTTCCTGCAAAAAAAGAGGGCCAAAAAACCGATAAAGAAAAAACATAGAATAAAACAAAAATAAAAAATGCTGTGCAATTTTCCCTAAACAGGACAAAAGCGATAGAAGGTTCAACGAGCTGGTCCATAGAAGCTTCCAAAAACCACAAAACCTCTAGCTAACACAATTATCGGGTCGGTCCACCATGTCTATCTGCATACGCGAGCACAAAGTTATGTCTCGGAATATGCCAAATGTGTAACACATATTAAAAAAATTATACATATTCGAACCAAATCAACCACATATATTTTTAAAAATTTCATGTATTTTAAAAATGTTAAATGAGTACTAAAATGTTTCACATGTATACGAAAAATATACAATCTGTATGAAACATAGAAATAAAAACATATAGTATTTTAGAAATGTTAATCTTGTATGTAATTTTTTAACACATAAGTAAAAAATGTTCCTGATGTACAAAAAAAGGTATATGAAAAAAAGTAGACATCAAAATGTGTTAATCATGCATTCAAAAGGTGATAAAGACATATAAGAAATGTTTTATATTATACAAAAAAGGTATAATGTGTATGAACAAGGAAGTACGCGTCAAAAACATATATGTGAAAAAACAAAGGAAAAAATGAAAACAGTGAAAACCGATGCAAAAAACTGGAAAATACAGTCAAAACCAGAAAAGAAGACAAACCGGCGAAAAAACAATGGAAAAAAACCGAGAAACTGAAGAAACAAAGAAAAGTAAAGTGAAAAACCAAAGAAAACAAAAAACCAGGAACAACAACGAATGTACTGATCGATGAACGACAGACCCAAAAAGGCTAGTGGGCCAGCCCAAAAGTTTGGGCACTGCGGACGCTACCTATGTTGTCGTCGCAACAAGCAAGGAATAGATCTTCCACTAGAGAGTGGCTCTAGTCCAAACCAATGGGCCCTTAACTCTGGCTCAAAATGGAGCACCCACCATGAGTTATTCTGATGAGTATAGATGCCATCACAAAGATAGTACCCCATGTTGTACTGATGCCCATTGGAGATTTTTTCGAGACTTTATAACATTGTTTGCGAGTGGTTTTCATCGATTTTCACGTAATTTTCTATCCTTCTTCATCAAAAGAAAAGGAAAACTAGAAGCTTTCATGCATGCACAACCCGGACATCTCAGATCACACAAAGACATGAATATCCCAGATGATATAATTGATGGTGTCATTTTATGTATATTATTTTTCATATACGTAACTAGAAGTAGCTGGTGTCATTTTACTTTATCAGCTTATATAATTGATGCGTAGAAGTAGCTCCAGATCTTTGCCCAATTTAATATATATCACAATATACATATATTTTTAAAAATTTCACATGTATTTTTTAAAAATTATACATATTTGAACGAAATCAACCACATATTTTTAAAATTTTCATGTATTTTAAAAATGTTAAATGAGTACTAAAATGTTTGACATGTATACGAAAAAATATACAATCTGTATGAAACATAGAAATAAAAACATATAGTATTTTAGAAATGTTAATCCCGTATGTAATTTTTTTAACACATGACTAAAATATTCCTGATGTACAAAAAAAGGTACATGGAAAAATGTAGACATCAAAGTGTGTTAATCATGCATTCAAAAGGTGATAAAGTCATATAAGAAATGTTTTATATTATACCAAAAATGAGTAATGTGTATGAACAAGGAAGTACGCGTCAAAAACATATGTGAAAAAACAAAGGAAAAAGATGAAAACAATGAAAACCGATGCAAAAACTGGAAAATACAGTCAAAACCAGAAAAGAAGACAAACCGGCGAAAAAAATATGAAAACAAAAAACCAAGAAACCGAAGAAACAAAGAAAAGTAAAAGTGAAAAACCAAAGAAAACAAAAAAAAAATCAGGAACAACAGCGAATGTACTGATCGATGAACGACAGACCCGAAAAGGCTTGTGGGCCAGCCCAAAAGTTTGGGCACTGTGGACGATCCTATGTTGTCGTCGCAATACGCAAGGAATAGATCTTGCACTAAACAGTGGCTCTAGTCCAAACCAATGGGCCCTTAACTCTGGCTCTAGATGCAGCACCCACCATGAGTTATTCTGATGAGTATAGATGCCATCACAAAGATAGTACCCCATGTTGTATTGATGCCCATTGAGATTTTTTCGAGACTTTAGAACATTGTTTCTGAGTAGTTTTCATCGGTTTCCACCGAAACTTGGTTTTCACGTAATTTTCTGTCCTTCTTCATCACAAGAAAAGGAAAATTAGATACTTTCATGCATGCACAGCCCGGACATCTCAGATGATACAAAGACATGAATATCCCAGATGATATAAGCACTTCGTTAGACAACTTCAACGTACTTTTATTCCACGTACTAATGCATGCATGTCTGGTACAGTATTAATTCCAACAACGCAACACGACACATTTTTACGATTACGCATGTACCTACCTAGTGAACACCGTTGCATGCATGCATGCACGAGACTGAGATATAAGATGAACTGGAACGCAAGCTTGCAAAGAGCACATATATGTGTACGGTTGATCGATCAGCGCGGGCAGGTGTAGGTGGATTCGCAGGGAATGTTGCACTGGTTGAGGAGTACTACGACGTCGAGGCGGAGGCCGAGGACGCCGCCGAGGACGTCGCAGAGGCACGCGGCAGCTTGCAGGTCGGCCAACCCGTAGAGCAGCGGGCAGCACTCATTCGCAAACAAGCCGAGACTGAGAATCGGCAGGTTCAGCACATTGACGCACACTTGCAGATTCGGGCACGAGCCAGAGCTGGTTGATGGTGGTGCTGCCGACGCGGGGTACGCCTGTTGCGGTGGCGACGGCGGTGGTGGGGGCGGCGGCGGCGGAGACGGGGACGGGCAGTTGTATCCCGGGCACGACGGTGTTGGCGGCGGCGGCGGCGGCGGAGACGGGGACGGGCAGTTGTATCCGCAACCGCGAACTGTGTAGACCGTCAGTGCCATGGCAAGGAGCAGGAGGGCGAGCTTGGACGATGGCCGCGGCGCCATTGCTAGAGCTTTGATTGAGAAAGCTAGTCACATGTGTATGTGATTGTACTGCTGTATGTTCGGGTTGTTTTGGGTGGTATTTATAGCCGGATTATACATGATGCAAGAGGTTGTGTGCGTGTTGATGATCAGATCAGAATCAGATCGTGTACCCTCATGGATCGATGCTCTCACCCTATGTACGCAGTTTACAACAAGCCACGCGCTGCTTACAGTACATGTGCCCTCATGGCACTAGCTGGAATTGGCTGATATCTTTGGGGAGCACGCCACGGGCATGCATTGCTTGCTCTCATTATTGTGAACGTACACTATAGACATGCATGTGCAGACCTCAACTAATTAGGTAGTAGCAGGACAAGTCAACTATATGTGCTCCTATATATAGCTGGTTATTGGCTCCTCTCATATGTGGCACTAAATTGGTAGTTGCATCCCTCAAGATCGGATGCTATCATGCACACAAGTTGGCTCATTAGGCTAGTGGTTCTCATAGTTGACCACTTAATATGTGTTATATCACGGCCAATGGCTCCTCTCCTCAAGCATGGCACACTATTATATGATCTGGTATGATTTCATTTGGATTTACCCTCATGCATACAACTTGACTAACAAGGTGTGCCTATACAACTCCCAGATCTTTACCCTCAATCACAACTAATTAATCAGCTAACAAAGTTGTCCGTCTTAGCTGCCATGCATCGTTCCCCTTCGTAGCCCATCCATCACTTGATCGTAGGTTGACACGAACCAAATTTCCAAGGCCTTGTGAGCCACCCTTAATTTCATCTCATTCATTAATTCGACGGATTTGCAAAGTATGGAATTTGCTTCTCCACTCATCATTCGTCTTGGTTGAGGAGATTTTTGAGTTAAAAAGTGAAAGGAGGGAGTATATGAAATTTCATCTCCTTCACTGGCCCATGACCTATTATTGGTCACTCATTGCCAACTGAACCTCATATTGAGAGTAATTTCCAAAAAACTACCATTTTAGAGGTATTTGTCCTGAAAACTTCCCCCTTCTTATAAAAAAAACTACCATTTTTGTTATAAAAATTTCTTTAAAACTATCATTTTTGCATAGGTACCGGTTTAAACAAATTAAATGTGTTTATGAGAGGAGAGACCCACCCATCACGCTGACATGATTGGATAGTCAACTCCGTTTATTTCGACCAGCACCGAAGGCATTATGATATGTGGGACCGTTATGATATGTGGGACCCACATGTCAGTCGCCATGTGACAAACCCAGTCCAGCAGCTCCTGGAAGTGCTCGTCGGTGGCCGTCGACCTAATCGACTCGCACACCATCGACGCGATCTCAGGGAGCGGCCGCCGCTGGATCGCGTTCGTGCTCCCCTCGGCCACCGTGAACGTCGTGACGTATCCGACGTAGTTGCGCCTGGTTTCCTCCGGCACGGTGATGCGACGCCGTCGCCCGTTCACCCACCAGCCCATGCGGCAACTCTGGTCTGACAAGCCCACGGTGGCGGGGAACACCTTCCATAGGTATGCAGAAACCGCCTCAACGCGGCTCGCCCCGTGCTCCCCGTCGCCGGTCGCCTGCGCGCGCAGCATGGCGAGGTTCCGCTCCTCGACGTAGTAGGTGCGGCAGACCAAGGAGCCCCCGGCCGTGAGGGCGTTGACGAGATGCTCGCTCACCAGCAGCATGAACAGCTTGCCCACCGAAGGGCCGTACGACAGCGTGGTGCGAGGGCGGAATAAGGATCAGTCAAAGTTCAGGGTGGCGACGATCGTCCCGGCCCGCGCGAGCTCAGACCACGCGTCAACGATCATGCACAGCGTGCACCCGTCCGCGAGGCCGTGGTTAGTGCTCCAGGTCCAGGTCACAACGAACCAGCCGCAGGCGAAAGACACCAGCTGCACCGACAGCACGGCGTCCGCGCCGTACTGGACGGGAACGCCGACCCTCGCCAGCGACGCGTCCATGTCGTCGAAGTCCAGGCTGCCTAGCGCCTCGCCGACCTCGATGACGACGAGCTCCGCGCCCTGCTTGTCGCAGTGCACCTCCAGGAGCCCTGTCCGCGGGTTGGCCACGATGCGGCCTGCGAGCAGAAAAGAAGTGGTCCAGCAAGGGCGACAGCTTGCCCTCGAACGCGGCGATGACGTCGACGAAGCCACCGCCCGCGGAGGGCCCCATCAAGAGCGGCATGGGGTAATTCCAATGTTTAAATAGCGGGCTATGAAAAATAGCGGTGGGCCTTTAAATCAGCTATAGCGGAGGTATAGCGGACTATTTATAAAGACGACTATTTAGCAGAACCCTGCTGAAAAGGCTATAGCGAGTATAGCCGGCTATTTAAAACTATGGATAATACAGTACGTCGAGGTTGAAGACGGGAAGCACGGCGCCGGGCCGTGTGACGGAGGCCTTGACGATACTCCTGCGGGTAAACCTTGACGGAGGTCACTCGAACAAGCAAAGAAACTGACCTGCTGTCTCTGAGATACGCTTTCACTTCCCTGCCTTGAAGTACTGTATATAGTACAAGTGTTGTAGTAGAAGTTAACCTTGAAAATTCCAAAGTCAGCGTGGAATCTTTTGTACTGGCTGGGGCAGCGCTTTGGATGCCAAAATGATAGTATACACAAATATATCACCAGATAGAAGATGCATGCATTCTTAGAAGAAAAAGAAAAATATGCATGGATAACATGATTCCACGCCGATATGTATGTATATGTAATTGATTTTCTAATGCTTTTAGTTTACATCAGCTATCAACAAATGAGTACAACTTTTGTCATCTATTCTTTTTCCTTTTGCTTTCTTCTTCTTAATTTGCTGATGGCACCATATAGTACACTTGACAAGGTGTGCCTGAATCGGTGTCTATATTTTTCTCTGTCTTCGTCATCTTGGGAAGGCGGTAACGCAAAGGTGAGAGGCGAGAGCAGGGTGGGACGATAACCCCCACGGATTCTAAAGTGGCATTTAAAAATTTCCCCTGATATTCGAAACATCGGGATTTGGAGCCTTTGGTCCCACCGCAGCTGTTGACCCTGGTCAGGCATCAGCGGTGAGCATGTTCTGGTGTCATACTTGTACAAAGTTTCATCGTTCATGTAGCAGAGCATCTTGTCGCCATTGTCAACCCAGGCGCTCCATGGCCTGAAGATGTAGAATGGTTCCTTGATATGGAAGTTATAGCGCAGATCCCACTGTGGAGGCTTGTCATCCTCCGGCAGCGACATGACCCAAAAGTGGAGGCCCACGTAACAGACGTGTTTGACGAAGCACAACTAGCCGTCGAGCTCGAAGGCACCCACTAGCTGCTTGGCATAGTCGAGAGTCTCATGCTCTGGCAGACGGTGCGTGCGGTATGTCTCAGTAAGCACATCGACTACCAACACTCGCTTCCAACCTATCGTCAGCACATACAGCTTGCCGTCGATCAGCAGTGGCGGCCAAGTCGGGATTTCAGCCGGATGAGACGGTGAGTGGAATGAGTGCTGCCGCCAGCGCCGAGTGTCGCCTAAGGTGTACACGGCCATGTGCACCTTAGAGAACCTGAACAGCTTATACTCATTGGTGGGTGGACTGAATCCCAAGGCGAAGAGATGTGTCTTATCCTTGGTTCCTGTGAGCGGCGGCGCCCTGGGAAGCGCCAGCGTCTCGCCGGTGACAGGGTTACATACCACCGCCGGTGCCTCGGGGCCGCTGCCGTGCACATAGCAGAGGAGGCCGTTGCAGACGTTGGCGAGGTCGTAGACACTGGGGATGTCGAAGGAGAACATGGCCTTGCCCGAAGACATGCTGAAGATGCTGGCCTCGTCGCTCCGGCCCGGCTCACACGTCGTCAAGACGAACAAGACATCTGCGTCCGCCGACAAGGCGGTGGCGTAGTTGGCGGCGTGGAGACGGCGAAAGGAGGGCTCGCTGACGACACTGCGCCACAGCCTCGAGACGCAGTAGCACCGGGCCACGTCCTTTGTCGGCAGCTTCACTAGGATCTCTTGGATCATCTCCCTAGGGATCTCCCTGCTGTGGCTGCTGCTCTGAGCCTCAACGCGACGAAGATGGCGACGACGACGTCCCGTCGTCATGGATAGACGAAGATGGTGACGAAGACGACGCCCCATCGTTACAGATAGATGGGCAACAGCAATCCGGCAACGTGGAATCGACCAGCTTGTGATCGCAGGGTGTCTATTTTAGAGCACGAGTTGCCGAGTTGGAGTCGAAGCAGGTATCAAGTCGGACTCCTTGTGGGCACACTAATTACTTCCTGATGGTAGTAGTAGTATTTTTAGGATCCGAACCACCTAAATTCCATGCATATGTATTCACCGATTGACACCGTACGTGCCGGACGAGATGGTGCCACAGATCCTCCTCCGGCCCGCCGTCGGACCGCTGCTGCGTCCAATTTAACCGAGCTCCATGGGGACTTATGTGCGTGCGTGCGCCTCACTCGATATGTGGGTGTGTAGGGACCTGGGAGATTATGTCAATCCCCAACAATAGGATCAGCGTCATATCATTGCTTTCCCGGGCTTACATTATCACCTGATGGATGCATCACTGACAACATAGTGTTCTATGTCGGATATTTCCCGGCGCCTCTGTAACGGCGATCTCCAAAATCAACAAGCTAGTTGCACGAAAAAGATTGACATGGTGTCCTTGAAGTATCACAACGTTAACACAGACACGTTTGTGGAATTGACAAGAAAATTTGGAAGTAACATTACCTTTGCAAGAGGATCCCCTCCCCTCGCGTCGCCTCCCCTGAGGCGACTCGAGGGCGAACCCTAGATCGCCTCCGCGCTCCCCCCCTCCCTCTCCTCTCCCTCCGCCGCTGCCTAAGGTGCTCGCCGGCACGGCACCTATGAAGGGGGCAGCGGGGATATGGCGGCTCCGTCTTTGCAGAGGGCCCTGGCGTTCGGAGTGGTGGCTCCCATGGGTGGTACCCGGCGTGGCCGGTGCGGCGGGCTGCGCCGGTGGG